TTTCAAAAAAATATGTACTGGTATACTCTCTAGAACTTCCTACGTCAGTATCGTGTTTTTTATATGTCTGAGAAGCACAGCACTTGCTCCTTGTATAAATGTCACAAAAAAGTATTTTCTTAGCTGTCATGCTTTGCTTCATCGGTACCAAATAATGGACATTTTGAATTTGTATAATAATTTAGTTTTACATATGATAGTTTCACGCTCGTTTTCTGTACCCGTAATAAATCCTCAACATTTCTAAAAATATTCCATGCGATAATACTTTATATAAACAATAGCATAGTATCATAAAAACCTACTGTTTACTAGTATTTATTTTGCTTTTTGACCTTGGCAACAAAGTTAGTCTTATAATATTTCTCGGACACTGCTGGGATCTCTACAGAAAGACGTTTATCAGGGACACCAGCGAAGTTTTGCTCATTTCACGACAACTTCTCCAAGTTCAAACATCTGTATGTTCTGCGATGACGGGTGACAAATCGTACGTTAGAAACTTAAGTACGCTAGAATTTTTCTTAAATTGATCTCAAAAATTTAAAAACTCAGAAAAAAACAAAAAGTTACAGTACATTGCAGAAATTTTTCAGATATGAAAAAAATAATGAGATGTAATCTGGTTTAGTATTTTTCAGATATGAAAAAAATAATAAGATGTAATCTGGTTTAGTATCCTTTATGCTTTGCGTACATCTCCAGCCCAGTCCTAACTTTTTACAAGAAACGTGTCAGCCTTATTTTCGAAACTTATTATTTTTAAAGAAATTGGGCAGCCTAATCCGAAAAGTAAGTTTTTTATGTGCATGTTTTTACTGTAGTTGCTTCAGATCTTATGTGCCCTTTTTATTTCCAAGGTTTATTTTGTGGTTTTTTCTTAATTTTGGGTACAATGTAGGAAATATGTATTTTTACGATGACTGTTTGGTATTTTACAGCAATGAAGGCAAAAACAGTTTTCCCCTTTGGTAATGCACTTCCATCTCTCTAAAAGATATCATTGCTATGTCTTCGTTATAGATATCCCACTGCAATGTTAAATAAACTTGTTTCCGCAGCCTGGGCCTTTGCAAGTTTGCAGGTGTTATCCTTAGACTTAGGCATTCACCCTTCCTTTGCTTCATCCTTTTTAATTTCTTCTAGTTGAGATATGTTGGTAACTGATGCATTTGCAGGTGTATAGTATTGTTATTCGTAGTATCAGTGTGAACTTTTTTTCTTTTGTCTGTTATAATTCCATTATAATTTTTTGAAATCTTCGCATCCATAACACTGTTTTTTGCGTCACAGACGTATTCATAATTGCTAGTATTTGCTAGATTTTTGTAGGCCTAATTTCATCTCTGGTGAGCATTTTGACTTTTTGTGAGATATTTGCGTCATTCTAAGCATTGCATGGCGCTATTTCTTGGCTTAGAATCGCTTTCTTTCCTTTTCTGCGGCGAGATGGAAACACTTATGGAAAATTTAATAATCTGGTCATTGTTTTCACAGAACTTCTGCCCTGTGAAAACTTGTTTCACGGTTATACAGTACGACTTTTGTATATCGTATCAGGGCATCTTATCAACAAAATGCAATTTGACAGTCCTCTGAAATTCCCAGAATACAATTGTATTTACAAGCGAAATCTCAGCTACATTAATTTTTCATGTATTGCAAAGACGGTGTTGTTAGTCGGCGGCTTCCTTTGATCTCCAAGGTCATTTTGCCTCAAATCGACTTTTTCCACCATTGTCAGCTGCCTTTGGCCGACTAAGATTGGATGCTGCTTTTCTACAAATGATCATTTTTATTTCATCGCCACTTTTTCTCACAATTTTTTTGAATCTTCTTTGGAATTCTCTTTGTGCGCCAGAATTCCGTAGCAGCCGAATTTATCCACTTTCCCAGCATGGCTGTTTCAATCACATCTGTTTCATCAATGATCTCTTATTTTTTTGCATTTCAGCAAAAACTGATCCACTTCCAGAAGGCATCGACTGCAAATTTCCCTCCTTTCTAAAATCAAAGTCGACCAAATTTTTTAAACTAGTCTTCCGAGATGTTTAATTATCTTTTCCACCAATTTAATTCATACTTTGCTTATGTGTTGCTTAATGTCATTTTTCCTATTAGGCAAATATTTTGCAAAAAGCTCCATATTTAAACGAACTCTTCTTGAGAAAAGGCTTTAAAATTTTCTCCTCCTTTTGATGCCCATGTGGCTGTGGCTATACACAGCACAGTTGATTCAATCAGTTGATTTGTAGTCTTATAGTCTAAAAGAGCCGATGTTTACAAGATTGCGATTGCAGGATGCACCATTTTACAGAGATTTTTAACCTAGAGTTTGACCCTTCCTCTTCGGTAACGTTTATCGTTAAAGCTAGCAGCATTCTTATCTTGAACGATGAGCACACATTCTAGCAAAACGAATTTGATATTTCAGCAATTCTATCATTTTCAAGAAACTTATGCAGAACGCTAGATCATCGAGACACCTTCCCGGGCCACTTTCAACTGTTACCAGAGTTTTTATTTCAATCATTGCTACTCAAGCTTTTCTTTTCACATTTCCAAATGCTGCACATCAACCAAAGATTATTATAAGTTCGGTAAACTGCGATTTTAAAAGACCGACTAGCCAAAGTAATATCTTTTAGTTGAAAATTACTTCTTCGGAATTTACTAACCGTAATGCCTCGAATAAGCGCCCGGGCGCTTTGTTTAGTTTTTTAGGCTCCAGGGTGGGTGCTTATTCGAGGTTGGCGCTTTATCGAAGGGAGCGTTTATTTAAAAAGTAGATTTGGGTGCAAATTGTGTTTTTCATTAATCATTCTTGTTGAATTGCCTTCCAATTATGTTTTCGTTGAAAATTCGAAAAAGCGCCCGTTTCTGAAGGTTGATAGATGGGCGCTTATTCGAGGGGTGCGTGCTTTTTCAGGGGGGGGGTACTTATTCAATAACTTCACATCTAGGCGCTTATTCTAGGGGGGCTCTAATTTGAGGGGGGCGCTCGTTCGAGGCATTACGGTATACTCATTTACCCAGACTTCAAGATCGTTTTAACACCCCAAAGGCACAGAAATAGCGTGAAGTAGCAAGAACATTGCACTCAATTTGTAAGGAAGATGTTCTGTTTCGTGACCTACAGTTTCAGTGTGGTTTGCCTTGCCTAGCCCTAGAAAAGGGTCTGCGGTTTGCAGATATTATAGTTGATCAGGGAGAACGAACTTCGTACACATATAAAGGAATTTATCGTGACGAGGTCAACCACGATAAAACGCTTTGCTTGTTGAAATCTTTGAGTACAGAGAATTGTTCTTCAATCAACGATATTTATGAAAAACAGTTACGATTTTACCGTTATCCGTTTTCAGGGTTCAGGCTTAAGAACGAAGTCACACTCTTCATTAACAGTATCTTTGTATGCCTCTGGGTTTTTTATTGTGAAGGGGGAGGGGAGGTGGGTGTCTGCTAGTTGAAAGAAGTTCATTTTATCATCTAAAAGCCCAACGCAATCGGGAATCCAAATATGACGAACCTAGGGAATCCGGACAGGGTAATCCGGACACCTCGTGTCATACACGTAAAGGATTTCTGTGACTGTATTAATGGATCACAGGTTGCCTAGGGACGGAGAACACTCTCTAACCAATATGACATAAAGCAAAACATTCAAACTATCCTAGAGGTTCGCAATGTCCGTCCCTTAGTCTAATTTTTACTTTCATTTTTACCCTCCGACCGTCAGTTTTGAAGGGCAAGGCATGCCACATCCTAATTTTTTGCTTCAGAATGTTTGATTTATCAACCAAATGCATGCAAAACTCCCTGTTTCCCTGTTTTTGACTCCAGACCTCACTCAGTGAACAAAGACGCCAGCAGTTTATCGGACGCTATCTCTTCAATCCCCCAATATTTCTAAATTTTTGATGTTTTTCCTGTTTTTGCTGATTCCTTCCAGCACCCGCACTGAATATCACTGAAAGATTTCCTTGAAACTGATGTTGTTTAGTTTTTACCGACTGTATGAACAGACAGACAGTGGAACCGTGGCCATCTGTTGCATGTGAGTGGTCGAAATGATCACGCAGACGCTGTAGTCAGTTGTTCGTAATGCGTGTGATTGCCCTCTTCTTAAACAGAATTTTGTTGCCTAATCGACAGTCAATCATAATGTCCATAACCGATAGCTTCATTTGAGGAGCTGTGCCTATCTTCTTCACTGTTAATAAACAGACTATTTCGAGCGTTATGCCCCTGTTTTAAGACAATAGCTTTGCATCTCAAATCTCTAGCGTATGTCGTTTTGATTGTGATAGTGAAAATTCATGTGCCTCTTGTAGTGAGCCTAAACTGAGCAGAATCATCATGTCAATAAAAATACGACCAATGGCACAACGAGTTCTGAATGATGGACCAATCAGAATCACGTCAAGATCTCTGGTAAATGTCACGTGCTCGTCACATGCGATATTAAATCATTCGAATGCCCATATACGGCGATTCAAACTGTCCGTAACGCAAGCTGGTCGAAGCAGAATTCTTCATTTACGAGCCCTTCTTGAGTGTAGATTCCTTTGAGACTTTCGGCTTCTCTGGACTGTGCAGCGAGACGTTCTATGCACAGAAAGCACTGTTGACTTATTGCACCTCTTCACGTAATCCAAACTATCTTAGGTATAATCTTTCAAAACGGTCTTAACGTTTGCTGGCGCTTGAACAGCACACTACGTTAAGCGGAAAGTGTTCTCGGTGAAATGAGAGTGGAAATGTCCGTGTAGTACAAAACCCCGCGAAATCCATGCCTAAACATGGTTGAATATGAGATGTCTTCTTTCGCACCGATGTAAACATTAACTCTCTGTAGGAAAATATTAACCCAACTTGTTTATTTTGCCTATAACAAAGCCGTTTTAGTTATATTGGCTCGATAGGGTGAACGGGTCTAATAGTGCTTGCATCTGCGAAGTTGGGACATTGTCTCACAAGGGGCTGATACATCGGTAAGTTTCTACGTTCATGCTAAAAAGCTGTTAAGGTCCTTTGAAAAAGGCTTTTTCGTAACTGCTCTTTGGTAATTCTGCCTTCACCGGGAATACGTTTCCAGGATTACATTTATGTACCGTATATCGATCCTTTAAATGGTAATATTGTGAACCAAAGAAGCATTCGATTCCTTTGCTAAAAGATTTTTTCTACTCCTTTGATGTTTTATTTGAATTTTTGTGTACATTGGCAAGGTTTCTTCTTACTCTTGTTTTGCGTTTAAACAAAAACGCATGGATAGATTTCTCGATCATGCTAGAATTATACTTATTATTGAAATACGATTGGAGAGGGATATGGTTGTGGTTCATTGAGGTCTTAATCAGTTTTACATCACCATGAGAACATTTTTCTGTTTATTTGATTCTGTGACCTGGTTGATAGTTTTCTACATCGTAAACACGTGTCAGATTGTTTACATTACGATGGCCAAAGTCTTGTTGCAAAATGTTGCAAATTTGATGAAAACGCTCACTTTTGTGAAGAAAATAACATGATTAAGATTGAATATGTAGACTTCATTTAATAATGTCTTAGATTTCTGAAAAAGGGCGTGAGCAAGCTAAAAGAAGCTGTTCAAAACACCCGAAAATATAAGCGTATATGATGCTCTAGGATGCATAATACACTGAGCTCTCATCGGAAAATTTGAAGCGACTTAACCCTATCAGCTTTCAGAAGACTTCTTGTCATGATCTGGCCCGTAAATCTCTCGGCAACAGCCTATTCTTATCTTTATTTTATGAATCTGAGATTGTGCAGATTGCCGCACCTTTGCATTCTTGAATAGGCAAAGTCGTAAAAATACTAGAACGTCTCATGACTGGTTGGCTTAACCAACAAAACTCTTCCTCACAGCGAACTTACAGAGAGTGACCTGCATCAGCTCCAGCACCCTCCCTCTCATCTCGCCTCCCACTCTGAGAAAGAACAAGTTTTATTACCCAGAATAATGCTATTTTCACCTTCTTGGCTCGTTACTCTACTAAAATTTTTCCGACTTAACTCAAGGACATTATTTTTGCTCGTTTCTCATTACCTTTTGATCTTACTTTAAAGGCCATTTTAGATTGCAAACGTTTCTAGATCTGCCTTCTATTTAGTCTGGTTTGGAGAACTGAGTTTCTCTATTTCAACTTGGGGAAGTATCTCCCTTTTGCTTATTTAGGAGATTGCAAACCTTCTAACACGTGCTTATAATGCGAGGCTTCAAATAAACTATAAAATGATCGATCTTTTTAAGGCCTCGTTCACTGCCTAGGTGAGGCTCTTTAGGGCCATTGTGAATTGCCTGGTCGCTTGATTCTCTCGAAGTTGACATTCACACGGAGGCACATGATCGACGAGAGTTAGATTGTATATTTTCAAGAAGCAGGGTAATATGATGTCTAAAATGTGATATGATGTCCTGAAACTACGATAAAATATGAAAGTGTCATTTTAGAATGGACATGTCCTTGTTTACCACCAATTCAGATCACTAAGCTATGAACAGAAATTCCGAAACAAATTCCATGGATATTTCCAGACAGCTGATTCCAGAATGTCCCATCTACAAACTTGAAAGCTAGCTAAGTGATTATTTGTGACAGTAAGTTTACTCCAGGACGGTTCCTTTTACTGACCTTATCAAAGTCGACCGCCTTGCCCATGTTAAACTAGGCCCTCAAAAAGGTCAACAGAGTGAAATTATCAGTCCAGTTTTATGTTAAATTGTGTGAATTAGCTTTTAGCCTGGATTGTTACTCACGGCTATTGGCTTCCGATTAACATTTCGATCATGCATATCTTTGAAAAACATCGATTTAAGTGGTACATAAAGGATTGAACCGCATTTCGTTGGATTTTCATCAAAAACCAAATGGGTTTCTTGAAGTCAACAACAACGGCGTTCAAGACAATGACCCGTTATAGGCGAGAATTACTGTTCAGGCTATGAAAAGTTGAACATCTCACAGGGACCATGGCAACACTATCAGTATTGGGCCGTCACTTTCGTGCCCAGGCCCTTACTCCGATGCCATAGACAGCTCTTGTAACTTTTTAGATAGAAACTAGTACGCACTAACCGATATGTTAATGTTAAGTTTTAACGGACCACGTAGTTCATATTCAAGATAACCCTTCCTCTTGCGATGCCCGCGTCGTTGCTTTACGTGTTAGACTTAATTTACAGATTAAGTACATGAAACTCTCATCTCGACTCGCCTTATCAATAGCAACACGAGTTAAACTATATTGAAATTTTCATCTCAATTTGCTCAGACGCTGTTTCTGTTCAAATAATTAATAAATCCAAAAACATCTGCTTTATACTGCTTTCATAAGTTTGACACGCTGCAAGGAGCAGTTTTTATCAAGCTTGTTGACTTTTACTTCCGGAATATTCGAAGAGTTTAAGGAGTAGAAAATCCCCTTTGCTGTCTTCTTGGACCTGCAGCTTGTTACGTTTACCGCGTTAGAATGTTCCATTTGCGTAAATGTCATTGGAGTCACGCAAATCCCTTTTTGGAAACGGAATTTAATGTAACACGAAAACTTCTTGTTAATAGTCCGTCAGTCTGACAGCATCCTTTGCAGCCGTTTCGTGAGCATAGTATGTTCCGGCCTATTTACAAAAACACTTATGCAATATCCTTTATCCTTCTATACTGTACATAAAATTTAACTTTCACACTTCCTGGTCATTATCCCTCGTATAGCACCGTTTTTTAATCCAATTTGTACATCAAACTGGAAGGTGAAGGCCCTTTACTTGTATTTGAGGTAACCAAACACAGCGTGGTTGTTCTCGCACTTTGGCATTGATTGTCCTTTTATCTTTATGCCTGAGAATTTTTCGTGCTCGAATTCTTTGCATATAAATTATCTAAATATGTTTCAGACAAAAACAAATTGTGAGAAAATATTGGCAGTTGGTTTATAGTATTAGCTATATCTACAAAAGGATAGGTTTGACGTAGAAGAGTAACAAATATATTATGCTGGGGATTAAGTCATTATTTTTACTGTGAAATTATTGGCCTGTCAGGTCTTAGCTGTTACAGAAATGTCCAGTACATGACCCATAAATAGACTTGATTGGCATTCTAATCGTTAGATAGTAACAGAAAGGAAGGAGTGTCGCTCTCCCAAGAATCAGTATTGGTTCTATACTGGCTAGGTTATGTGCTGATATCACGATTACATGTTCCTGTTTGTAACAGTTTAAGACGGTAGGTTTTTGAAAGAGTAGTATATATTCGACTGTAATTAAGAATAGATCTTTAAGACGAATCGGCAAGATTTAGCAATTCAGTGCCTAAAAGAGTTTGTAGAGGCATGTTTTGAATAGCAAGCATACCTTTGTTGAAATTCAATAATTCTCAGGCACGTTGTCCTCGTTGCTAAAACATTATTGATTTCTCAAGGGCTGTTGATGGGAGCTACAAATTTTGAAACCTGTCGATCCAAACTTTGAGCAATGTGTCTGAGGATGGTGAATGCAAATTGCAGTGCCGCATTACCTATCAAATTGAAAAACTTTATATTTTTTAGCCACAGGAACTGCTTTCGTAACATCTAAGCTTAGATAAAGCTTTAAAGAAGTAACTATAATTTGTTTATTTTAGATTTAAACTAATTCATTTGGCCAATTGATTTAATGTATCTTTACCAATGTTCTTGCTGTAGGATTTATGTTATATCACGCCCGCGAGAAATTCTTTTCTTACTACAGCTGCCACAATGAGGTTACTTGTGATAAATTTTTTATTCTTGCCAATTATCCTTATCTTTATTTCTAGGTTTGTGCTGACAAAAGAGACACGGGAAGAATCTGATAGTGGAATTAAGTTCTAACAAAGTTAAGCACAAATTGGTAAGTCTTCTAAGAATATTTTGTGTTGCCCTCATGTGATATTTTGTGCTCCAGCAATTGGATAACCGTGTTTACGAACTGCAACCCAAACACGATTTTGAAATTCCTGAGCTGCAATTGAGAGCAATGAGACAAGGCATAAATGCTTGAAAACTAGTTCTTTTAAGTGTGCTTGTGCTTTGATTTCACAAATTTATATGCCAGTTGAGTTTATCTGAAGGGGTAGTTCAGTATCTTTACTTAGAAGAGAAAAAACACGGTCTTATAGAGGGCAGCATTTAGGAGTATGTCCTTCGCAAAACTGCTAGCATTGTTTTAGAAACCTCATTAAAGGGCTCTTGAATGTCATAAATTTCAGTAAAAAACTATAGAAAAAAAATAAATTGACACACTTATCTTAATTGTTAGTTTGATCTCTTCAGTATTAAACAAATAGTTAAAACAAACTTCACGACATTGCTTATGGAATATAGTTTGATATATAAGATTATAACTGAAAAACGATTTGCAGAACGACTGTTCTTCGTTCATCGATTGATACTTTCTCTCCTGAATGATATATCAATTGTCCACCTTAGCTAGGCACAAAAGTTTAAGAACTACGCTGTTTTGGAGCTTGGGTTGGTTTGATGGTTCTTTTCATTAACCGTTAATGGTCTTACTGGTTAAGGATAAGCATTTTCTTGACACATAAACCGAATCATAAAGACCATCTTTAGAGCCGTATGCCTTAACTATATAACTTCTGCGCTTTGCGTATGTTATTTAGTTTTGTGTTTGGTATACCACCTTATCATGCTAGAAAATGCCCTTTATTGCTCTCGCGTTATTTCACCCTAACCCCGAGACATGTTTGACCCATTCACCAATGACTATTCCAAAGACCTTCGATTCACAAGTCTATTAGTCACCAGTCCTCTCAAGCTGCATACCTGCTAGATTTGTCCTTACGCGTTCTTGGCTAGCTAATCCCAGCATTCTTACCGTTATTAATTATTTGGAAAAAGCTGTCAGGCCTCCAGGAATTATTAACGTGGGAGTTATCCCATGAGGGAAGCAAACCTGGTAGAACCCACCATGGCGATTGAAAAATCAAAGGATGAGCAATAGATTGTTTTTGTAATGCCTTTGTAAACACTATCCACTTATATGCTCAAAAGGCATACAGTTGATTCCGAAGTCCGTTTATTTTTAGTACTGTTTCTCACGATTTGCAGACGGACGAAGCTTAGTTGCATTAAGCTGGCAAACCTAAGACATTCCAAAACGTGAAGTTTTATTCTTTTACTTCTTTGTAATCTCAACGATTGGTTGTCCTGTTGCACATTTGAAAGTGTTTGGATCATTTAAAACAGCAAGACTAAACTTGCGCAACCTCAGTTTGATATCGCCTGAGGGCATGTTCCATCACAGTGGCTTTGATAAAATGAAGGTAAAATGTTCTAGGGGAGAAACATCCAATGGTCGACTTGGGAGGGAATGAATAGCCATTGTCATCTGTGCCAACGTCAAGAGAACTTAAATCCTGTTATAACCTTCAGAGAGAGAGACATAATCTAAAGGGGCAGAATTGAAGAATTCCCAAACTCATGGAGCCTCAAGGTTTCTTCTAACAAAGGTGTTGCATAAGGATATTCAAGATTCCATGAGAGATTTAGTTCATTCCTTGGCTTTCAGCCTCGCCGTGAATTGCCCCACCATCATTTCTGCAGTCTCACCTAGGCTCTTTCAATATACAGTGTTGCTCTGAGTCCAAACAAACTTCCTGGAAAGCTTTACCTTAGGATACGAAGCGACTCAATCATAACCAGTCCTCGTTGCCTCCGAGGATCTCTAGAATATCTCTTGTTAGCAAAAGAGAAAATTTCGGAGAATTGTGCGATTTGAATAACCTGAACGTAATTGCATAGAACAAGAACCGAAATACCGAGGAGGTCGGGGAGGCCTTGGCCCCCCCCCCCCTTTAAAACATGAGTAGCATAGTAAAGATACTTCTATTTTATCAAATATGGCAAATATGTTACACTTGTTTATCAGGGTTGGCCCCCCTTAAACAAAAAGTTGTATCTCGGTCTTTGATATAGAATATACCTATTTTCGTTTCATGTAACCAGCTAAAGTGTTATTGTACATTGATCAATGAATATTGGTCGATATTTGCTACCTAAACCACTCATTCGCTTTTGCATCTACCTAAATCACTCAATGGCACTTGTTAACTTTTCCTTCTAAACTAAAATCAACGGAAATTTCCATCGATTGCCGGTAAATATAATTTTTTATTTTGGTCACGGAAATGTTTTATGTATGTTATTTTTTGTGCATACAATGTGAGCATCAATGAATAGAGACATTTGCAAAGCTTTTTAGTGAGGGGCATGTAGAATTTCTCACGGTTGCGGGAGATCTCTAGAAGGCCGTCTTTTAGCTGAATATTGTTTAATTAATCTTGCTTCAATTTCTGTGCTTGAGCATTCTAGACTTTTCGACCTGTAATACTTGCGATCATAATTTCAAGCATTATAAAAGGACGTTCTAAAAAGCCTGGTTTTGTTTAAGCGTTTCTTACCTTCTGACAGTGTGCCGGTCTGATGAGTTACCTGCAATTTGTTCCACAATTTTCTTTTCATCATAGTATTATTCAACACCACCATTATTATATTTATTTTTCGTATTTATTTCTTGCCTAGTATTTTTATTCTCGTGGCTTGGTAGATTGTTGTTAAAATCAAAGATGCCAGTTATTGCGACCTTTTTGGTAGGTTTGCGGGAGCGGCCTCAAAAAGCTTAAAGTTGTGCTTATTTCATATTTTATCATAGAAACAAAGATTGTGACAGTCGTTTTTACGAATATATTTACAAGTAGGATTCCTGAAGTATAAATAAAAAATCAGACTGTCTGGTTTAAAGATTTAAATTTATCTGTAAATAAACTATATATTGTCGTTCTTTTAAACTTTCGTTACGCTTTGTTGATTGGGTAGAGGCAGGCTGCGTTCAAAGTAGCTAACAGGAATTGTGACTTCATACATAGAGTACCAAGCCTATCAACTGACAAAAGAGTCTCGGTTCTGTGTGGCTTTTCGTGAATGCTGTTTAACTTTTTTTCTAAAAGGCCTAACGGCCTGTTTTCTAAAAGGTCCTTTGTTTTGACTTAGAAGTAAATTGGCACAAGAGTGTTTCTATGTACTACAGGATGCTACGATTTAGCATGACGCATGTATTTAATGATTTGTAACAACTTGTGCAAAAGCCGTTTTGTGTCCATCGTAGATTTATGTTTCAATTGGATATAAAACGGATTTATCAATATTGATTTTACATTGTATTAGGCCGCACAATGGACCGTCTGTCTAGCTCTTGCCACTGCCTGAAGATCTCTTTGGGCTAAATCCCGCTGTTTTTAACTCCGCATGATTAATGTCCTTTTCATTGGAATAAGAATCCATCCTTTTCAAATATTCAATTTGCTTTGATAGTGTATTTACTATGTTTTTCAGCGTTCTAATTCATAGCGCTCCGCAACACACAGCCATTTACCACAGATTCAAAAGCTTTGCTGTTCTGACCCACTCGCGAATATTCCAGGTTACTTAGCATCAAGCGCAGAAATTACCTATATAATAAAGGGTTATAGAAAAGAGGATTTTTCTGCAGGGGAGAGAGGGGAATGTTGGCAATGTCTATTTAATTACAACTGTAAGAACATCCTCGGCCGTCGTGTTCTGCTTATTTAGAACTTCGAACTTCGAACTTCGAGATGGTTCTTAGAACAAATATTCAGTATGATACTCAATATTGAATTTTAAACAGTTTTATGATAAGGGCTGCGTCGCATGTGACTCAAACATTTGTTTCATGCTTTTAAAAGAGATACTCAGACAAAGTATGGTGCTTGCAGAGACCCTAAAACATGGCGTCCATGTGGTCATCGACCTTGAACATGGCCAGTAAAATTAAAATAACTTAAGTACCACCCCAAACTCTTTCTTGTATTCATTGTTTTCTGCGGACGGTTGTCAGAGCTTCATAGCATTAACCAGAGGAAAGATAGATACTTTTTGGACTTTGGTTTATTCCCGTGCTGCCCCTACCCTTGCGAGTGTTCAGTTACGACCTCAAGGGTGGTATAGGGGGCCCACTCTATTAAAACGTGGTCATCATAATTCTTCCAAGATTGATAAATATTCGCTGTGTATTTAGCGCTTTGGTTCTTAAAAGATAGAAAACCATCGTTGTTTGCTAGAGGGTCGGGCAATGTAACAACTGTAATCCTTGCCTTCCGTATTCTGCTTATTTGGAACTTTCATATTTTCCATCTGATTTTGGTATCTGGAAGTGAATCTTATCTGGAGATAACTTCATTTATCCAAGACATACTTTCACAATATCCACTGTTGTTTAACAGAACAAAATCTGTACTTGCTTGAGAATTACAAGACAATAATTAACTTATTAGGCAATAATTAAGGCAAAAATTCATTTTGTCATAAATCTGTTATTGTGTAATGACGTAGTTTCCTTTACCCCAATCTTTTGAAATGCCTTTGGTAAACAGCTCTTATCGAGCCCCAATCAAGAAAATTATATAAATTGGCCTTAATAAATGCTTTCCTGCGTCCGGTTATTGAGTCTTTCAATCTGAAATTTTTTGACTGATTTTACAAAAATGGATCGCCAATTTCGCCTTCATTTCTAGTTATGCAGGCCCTGTGGCTACCAAAAGAGCTTCTAGGGATTTCGGGCTAAGACCCAGGGATCTTCTCGGTCTGACCTCAGAAGCATGATATTCTTTAACATGGATTCACGTAGATTTGGACGTGCTTGAGCAGAACTATAGAGGGGGCCTGTAGTTAGAAGAATGGCCGATAACAAAGGAGGTGAAAATCTGGCATCTTTAAACAATGTGGAGGATATGGTATTTGTCGATTAGATTTTATCTTTTTTATCTTTTTGTTTTTTTCGGAATATCATGTTTTGCTAAAAAACCACAATTAAACTGTGGATCCTGTCTTTCGAAAAATGGCAATTCTTAAAGATTTATGAAATATAAAGAAATATTAACTTATAGGTAAAATTCTATGTTATAATTCTCGTACATATTTCCATCATATTTTATCATAAAATCTTTGTTTTCTTCGACCATATTTTCATAGTTAACTTTTAAACGCTTTATAGTTTTAACTACGAAAAAGTTGCGAATTCCAGCTTACCATTATGCTGTATATTGAAAAAGAAACTTCGAGTTATCATTCAGCTCGAGGGCATTTACCTTATCAATAATATATTAACATAATTCCCTTAACGCTTCTTACTCTGTTTAATTTCTTGTAACAACATGCTAGTTTCTTTCATTTTCACACTTAATTCATATGTTTGTGCCATGAATATAATACCATTCTTCTGCATGAAACTGCAATAATATTTTCTCAAGAAGCCCTTTAAAGTCTGTATGGCCTTTTAATTGATTTCTGATTTTGCTTCTGGCAGTTTGACCGAAATTTTCCCTAGGGCTCTCCGAAAATCCTATCTTTAATACTTGTAAAGAGTATTTCTTAAGCTAGAAGGCACTAAATCCATCTTACAGGCTGGACCTTTATCCCCTGGAGTTATCCTATCGTTGTTTTCACATTCGTCCTTTCATTTCGTACTCTGTTCTCGTTGTTTTGCATTTCTACTACCCTAGATGTTTCTGTAGCTCATATTTTCGTCACAATATCAACTTTATCAAGTTATTTGTTCCGTTAAAGGCAAATAAACATCGCCATGCGTATGTTCCCACCTACATTTCTGACGTCACACAACCTCACATTGCCAATACCCATAGAGTAATATTATCTATCTGAGTAGGGCGTAATTTCCCATTAAGTCTTAAATATTTTCTAACGTAATAGAAACCTTTTGAAAATCCACCTATTTTATCAAGTTGCAAAGATCATAATGAAACTTGACTCTAACTTGAACCTAGATACGCCTACAATCTTTAAGATTTCTTTTTTCCGCAAAACAACTCGATATACGTCAAGAGCGTCTTCATTTTTTGGTCATATAAAGACATAGACGTCAGGCTAGATTTGTTTTAAAGTGACTCCTAAGTCAACCAGAGTAGATTTACAAATTCGTCCTTCTGTTGATTCACAAAGGCCACGGTCCGATACTTCATGGAATAGCCTCTCGTATATCCTTCCCGTCGTCCTTTTGTTGTCAAAGTAAATTACTTTTTTGTTGAATTGTGCCTGGATGATGTCCCGGCCCTGGCCATGCAACAGATTGTATTGTGGAGAGTTTACAAGTGTATTATGCAAGAAGCCCGAATCCGGAAACATCAATTAGCCCTAGTCTGGATATTGTATTCGGGTCTTTATCTGTTAATTCCGGTCTCAGACTGGATCTTCAGTGTCTTATAGGTCCCTAAGATGCCTAAAACTTATAACCTTCCTCTTATACTTCATTGTTATCTCTTCCAGCCTACCATCATGCTCTACCATGCCATCAATGCTGTAATTCAACCTCAAATCGTTTCTAAAGTGTAATGATTTAAAACCTTATTATCATTTCTAAATATCCGCGTCTCTATTGCTTTAATCACGAATTCAAAACCACCGCGGAAGCGAAAGCTGTTTTCTGTATACTAAACCATTCTCTGTATACTATCAAATGCGGGTTTTACTTGACGTCACATAAATATCAAGGAATATTTTCAACGACACAAGAAATTGGCTACCCGAAAACCTACAAATTGATTAAAATAAGCTCTGACATTTAGAATTTGGCTTTTCTAAATAAAGAATTTTCTCAGGAAATCAGAAGCCCTTTGTGGGAGCCAATAATTTATCGTAGGTTTTATTACTCTGTACACAGTACAAAGATGTACCCAGAAAGACCTTTCATATCTGCATAGGGCTTTGCTCTGCTGTATTCTTACAGCTTTCTGGGTTTCTGAAGAAGGACACATATCTGCTCGGCTCCTGTCTTCCTCGGCTGATCGCATTTCCTATGAAAATCATTGAAATTTTGCCAAAGAAAACTCGAGCTTTTTTCATTAGGCATAAGCCATCTTCATTACATTAATGCTGTTTTCGTAAAACGTAATTAGCAAGTGAAGTTATGTTGATATGAAACTTCTACTCAAATATGCCCTAGCCATTTTATGTGCTTCCTCCGCGTTTCCTTTGGATTCGAAAATTTGCCAAACCACATTTACAATAAACCAAAGAAAGTTAGGTACCAGAGATGATAAAAATTAACCGTCGGTCTAATATTAGCATGTTCAATTATATTTCCGTTTTCATTCAATATATTTTTAGAAAAGATATATACAAAGATTCTTTGAATTTTATACAATTTGCTGAATCTCACTGTCTTTTTTGTAATGTCTTTATTGGTTAACAAGGTTCACGAATAATAAGCTTAAAATATGAAGCTTAAAATGATCAGCTGCATAGCAAAATGTCCTCTTGAATAATTCTCGAGACCTATGTGAAAGGATAAAAAATGTCTGAACACACCAGAAGCAAGTATTTTTAAATTGTCTTCTATTTTTGAATAGAAGATAGTCGTGTCTGCTCGAACTGAATTCTTGTCAAAGTATGCATATTCATTGTGCATGTTTTAGTCTATATTTATGCTATTTTGTTGATGTGGAGATTTCTTCTCATCGGGTGAATTTAACACAGCAAGGGAATTGGAAGCCTTTACTGGAAAAACAAAACCAGCCTTTAAACGGCATATTTTTTAAAGAAAATTATTTAAATCTGTAAGCAGCTAGCTATCATAAATAACGTTTACCTTCGGATATTCTTTGCGAGGAAAATGGTCTTGAGAAAGTTGTAATGATGTTTTCTTTCATATTGTGCCTAAGTTCTTGTTTTAAAGAAGGAGGCGAATTTACTTTATCTTTGGTTTTATCTTTGCACGATGCCCTTCTCGTTGCTGTTGTTGTTGTTGTTGCTATTTTGTTGTTGTTGCCGCTTGTTGTTGGTAGTTGTTTTGGTTTTGCTATTTATGTTGTTGTTGCTGATAATGACGTTTTTGATTTTGCTTGCACTAAAATGAACGTTAATGCATTTTCATTTAGAACGCAGGCGACTCAACCGATACGTGACTACGAAATTGTATGGTCACTTTTCAGCAACTATCGCCATTTTCTATCAGAGATTGGCTAGCAGTGGTCGTCTGCACATTAGATATCATTAAATGTTATCAAGATAAAATAACAGAACTAGTTCTATAATTTATCTTGATTTTAATACTAGGGCTCATCATAACGATCATAACCTTGTTTGTGACTGTCATTGTCACGAGACAGCAGGGATGGTTTTAGCAAAGTAAACAGAAACCACAAAGAGCTGGTTTTGAAATGCTGCTCAATAAAAAAGAGAAATTTACAGGATTATCTTCATTGTATCTTCTTTATGGTTATTAATTCTTCAAAATGTTTTCTTCTTAAGTCAGCCACCTGTAGGCCTAAACGGTTCACCACCGTTAGATTGATTTCCATTGAAATTTTACAATAGCTGGGAGGGCCAACGCTAAAGGGTCTGCAAACAGAGACTAAATGCTCAACTTCTTAGATTTATATATTGTTCGTCGTTTTATATTGTTGTTTGACTTCTTCTATCAAGGGTATTGAGTCCTGCATGCTATAAGCTGGGATTTATTCAATTTCGTGCAAATCCTATTACAGCGGAGTTTCGTTGTCTCGTCGCTCCTTCATCTTTGCAGTGATCACAACTCTCAGGCACCTGTCTTGCCGTTATGCACGGAATGATTATCCCCCTTTGAATGCAAATCTAGGCCGCTTAGAGCAAATAATGCTCTTCTGCATATATAGAATGACAGCTATTACAATTTAATATCGCCAATCGTTTTCTTAATGTTCCTGAAATATCGACTTTGGTACTTCGCTTGTTTTCCTAAGGTTCTAAATAACCAAAGGTTAGAATTTTAGAAGAACTTGATCTGTGAGCAAGATATCTCTACTTGTGAAATTATATATATATTGTCATCTTTTAAAGTGCTTTGGTATTATGAGTGGAGCTATGAATCTCTGTTTTGACTAAAACAGAGTTATTTGGGCTCACTCTGTCATTGTTCAGCTATCCTGTTTCTTTTGAGCCTAGAAACTGCATACTCCTATTTCTCTGAATTCCGTACGATGTAATTTAGACCATACCATATTAAGGCAAGGTGTCTTCAAAGTGATCAGCATTAAATGTAGGTTAATCTACCAACTGCATACTCAAGTGGTTTCATGTTTACGGCGCCGTTTCAATCTAAACTGCTTACAACAAGGGATCGAAATGTTCTTCACGGAGAATTAAAGCACGAAGCTAAACCTTAGAAGGATGACGCGGTCAATGCACCTTTAACCCATCAAGTTTTGCATTACAAATCACTCGCGCTCGTAATCAATAATATTGACAAGGGTCACACGTGGCATTGGTTATTTTCTATACCATCGTTATTTGCCCTATCATGGTTATTTGACGGAGGGACTTTGCAGGGCAATGACGTCATAATAACTTCAGAAGCTAGTTGTATTGTAGTTATACACACATGTTTCATCAATACAACTATCAAATCATTTCAGTAGTATATACCGTTCTCTTTAAAAAGTCGACTTCTTCTCTTATTTTGTAGAAGCTCTGTTTATTTGTATAAGGCAAGGAGGCCTGTTGCTTTCATAGCTGCATCAGCTCTAAGGGTACTAGAGACTAATTTATTCCTTTAACATTTATTCAAAGAAAACGGAGTCGTGGCTGTTCTGTGTAACTCAACATCTGTCCCTCCGCTCTAATTCAAGTTACAGCGTATGTTTTTAGTATCAGATATGGAGAAATGGGTAGAGGGGGGGGGGGTGCAAAATTCACAACAACGTCTGTTCGTTATTGCAGTTTGGATGTTACCCACTTGATA